CACACACACACACACACACACACACATCCGCAAGGGCAGGCGAAGGCAGGGCGAAGAAAGTATGGGGAGGGAAGAACCAGAGGCCAAGCTTGATGCGCGCGTGTCGATAAATAAATATACATTTACAAAAGCACCTGCATCAGGCAGATTGACGCCACTCAAAACATCGACCAGCGATGATCCAAGAGCGGGTCGTGTCGGATGGAGGAGGGGGAAAAGAGGAGGGAGAAAGGGAAAGCAATGAGCGAAGCTCTGGCCCTCCTTCCGCCGCTCCTTGAAGTTGCCCATGGGGTCATCCAAAGGCGAGCTCCCGTGCAACAGGAACCCATGGATGACCAGCCGGGAGAAAAGTCTATAAGTAGGAGCGGGACCTAGGCTAGGCCTGGGCGGAAGGGAAGGGAGCCGAAAGAGAGAGAGAGAGACAGAGGAAGAGAAGGAAAAAAAGAAGAAGGAAAGACAGAGACACATGCTTTCAAGAGTCGCGGTCAGACTGATGCCATGGGACGGGGAGGGGGGGGGGGAAGAGGTTAGCCGGAGAATAAGGTAAGACCCGATGCAGGGGGGACGTGGCAGTAGGCAGGCAGGGAGGACCGCAGGACGGGGAAAGAAAAAAAAAAGGCAACGCGAGGAGGTGGGAAGAGAGGAGGAACGATGGGGAGGACGCTGCTGACGAGGATGATGCGTACCTCACGCAGGCGTCGGAGGAAGAGTTCGCCCGCCTTGTCATAGAAGTCCAAGCCGAGACTGGTCAAGGCCCAGAGAGCATCATCGGCTGACATGGTACGGCGGCGATCAGCGCGTGCCCGGTCGGCCGCCTCACTGGCCACAAAGGCAGCCAGCTCGGAGGCACACTCCTGGACAAAGGCCCGGGTCTCGAGCGAGATGCGCACCGTGCTCGGGAGAACCCGACGCATGATGCGGTTGATGTTGTTGATGGGGTACAGGCGCTCCTGGGGGAAAAGGGGAGTCAGAGCCAGGGCAGCAGCAGCAGAGGTGGCGCTCGTGGCCGGATCCACATCCGAGTCATCATGCAGCAGATCCTCATAGGTGTCGACCTCGTCGTCGTCATCCTCGATCCCCAGATCCTCCTCGTCATGGTGGGCCGGGCGCCGACGTCGAGGGGTGTGCTTGTTGGCTGGCAGGCGAAGCAGGGCAGCCGCCGCCGCAGCCGCCGCCGTGGGCGGAGACGACTCCGTCAGCTCATCGGAGTACCGGCCCCCGGGTTCCAGGGACATGGTGGCCGTCGGCCCATGGTGCCGATGCTGTTGCGAATACATGGCCAGGTGTTGTTGTGGCTGCGGCTGCGGCTGCGGCTGCGGCTGCGGCTGCGGCTGTGCGTGGTACACATGGCCTGATGGTGGCTGCTGCTGCTGCTGCTGCTGCTGCTGTTGCGAGTAGATCAACACCGGCTGGGAGGGCGGCTGGGTTGGCTCCGGAGCGGATGGGAATGCTCGAGTCGAGGCTGGCTGAAAGGGATGGCCGCTGGATGGCGGATGCCGTAGAGGCAGCGGCGGGTGCGCATGCGAGTGATGCCCGGCAGGCAGGCCCGGCAGTCCCGGCGGCGGCGGCGGCATACGGTGCCCATAGTGAGGCGGATATATGGCCTGCTGGGGGGGCTGGGCCGGCTGGTGCGGGGGTGGCACCTGTGCCTGATGGTGGTACTGTGACTGGGGAGGATGGTGGAGGACTTGTTGCGGAGGCTGCGAGGGCATCATTTGGGGGGGGTGATGCGACGGAGGAGGTGGCATGGCCGGGGATTGATGGTGGTAGCCCTGCATGGCCGACATGGAGGCCATTGGAGGTGGCTGATGGACCATGTGCGCCATGGACGACGGCAGGCCCGGCGGGTAATGGTGATACTGCGGCTGCGGCGAGGGGGACATTTGCGGCTGCGGCGAGGGGGACATCGGCGTCGGAGACTGGTAGTACGGATGCTGGGGATGGAGCTGCACCGGGCGGAGGTTTTGCCGCGCAGCCGCCAATGGTAGATGGTAGAAGACCCGATCATGGTCCGAAGGGGCGGCCATCAGCGAGGGTGGCGGGAGGGGCGGCGCCGGGGGGGGAGTCACTGCTGGCGCCGGCGAGGGAGGCTGGTAATACGGGTGCCGCGGATCGAGCTGAACCGGGCGGAGATTCTGCCGCGCGGTTTCCAAAGGCAAGTGGTAGAAGGGCCGACTGTGGGGAGAGCCAGGGGCGGCCAGCAGGGACGCCGGCGGCAGGGGCGGCGGCGGCGGCGGAGGGGGCGTCGGGCCCAGGGGACTGGCGGCAGGGGCCGCCGTCGGGAAACCCGCCCCTGGCCCGAGGGAGTGGCCAGAGTGCGCATCGCCGGGGCTGAACCCCGGAGTGTAGCCCCCTCCGCCGGTGCCGCCGCCGCCGCCGCCGCCGCCACTGCCAGCCCCGCCGCCACCTCCAGCACCCGGGACCCCGGAGAAGGATCCCAGCCCTGGGCCTGGGAGATGCTGTCCCTGCTGAGGCGAGAACCCCGAAGCATCGACGTAGGGGGAGTACCCGCCGGGATTGGCATGCAAGGCCCCACCGCCGGGGGACTCGGCCGGGGGGAGCATCGCCTCGGGACCCGACGGGGATGCATGGTGCGGGCCATGGTGCGAGCCGTGGAGCGAGCCCGGGCGATAGTGCGCCCCATGGTGTGGCCCATGGTGGTGGGAGTGAGGAGGGTGGTGGTGTGGACCGTGGTGTGCGTGGTGGTGGTGGTGGTGGTGGGGGTGGTGGTGATGCTGTCGAGGATGGGGGGCATGTGGCGACGGCGGTGGTTGCTGCTGCGGCTGCTGCTGCGGCTGCTGCTGCTGCTGCTGCTGATGGGAGTGATGGTGGCCGGGGTGGAAGTGCATCCCGTGAAGAGGGGGGTGGTGCACCGAGGCCGAGGCCGATGATGATGGCGGCTGTGATTGCTGTTGCTGGTGTGGCACATGGAATTGGTCGCCCCGGGTGTCTGATGTCGGGTCGACGGAAATGTATGAGCCCCCCTTGGGCGCCGGGTCCTGGCCTTGGTGGAAGGGCACGGGGCCAGCAAAGGGCTGGGACTGCCGGCGGCAACGGCCGGATGCAGGCCAGGGAGGAAGGAGGGGGGGGGGAGGAGGGAGGAGCAAATCAACAGCCGAGGGAATGTCAGCGCGTGCTGGACCCTACCCGGGGGAAAAGCACAGGGGCCGGACCAGGCGTACCTGCATCGACAAGTGGTCGGGACCGGGGCCGGCCATTTCCGACAGCAAGGGCGAGGAAACCAGCGACCGTGGCGCCGAGGAGGGAGCCCCTACCGGGCTGGATGTGGCCCCGGTTCTGGGGGGCTCTTCCCGGCCGGGGCCGGCATGGGAGAATGTCGAGTGGAAGTCCCCACTCGGTGAGGCCAGTCGAGGGCGTTTCACCTCGGCGGCCGCATGCGGGTGAGGTTGCGAGACGCTGTCATCCCTCTCGAGGCGCTTGGTCGAGTGCTGCCCAGACATGGGACACTCCGCCCGGCATGAAGGGTATGCGTGGGGTGTGCGTCGGGAGAGGGGGAAGGAAAGGCAGGGGGGGGGAGGGAGAAAGAGAGAGAGAGAGAGCGATGAGGAGATCGCGAGACGGCGACGCCAAGGGGCAAGAGGGAGGATGGGCGGAGGCGGAGGCGGTGGCGGCAGCGAAGGGGGGGGGGGGGGGGGGGGGAAACATGCCCCCGGGATCCTGCCCCGAAGATATCCGGCGCTGGCCCAAGAAAAGGCCCCCACGCCTGTTGTTGTTGTTGCTGTTGTGTCCGGTTTGCCTGGGTGGAAACCCCTTGCCCCGGGCTGGATGCCCTGCCCTCTGCCACTTGGACTCCGCGACATGGTGTGGCCTCGGCCAAGAGCGGCGGCGCCCATCGGGGATCGGCGCCCGGGCCGCAGTCACTCGGCTCCATGCCCTGCTCTTCGAGCCGGTCGCCGAGCATCGGGCCGAGGGCCGCAGGGGCAACGGACGGAACGGCAGGCGGAGAGCACCGGGGCCGGGTCGGGCCGGGGGCAAGGGGCGGAACAGGAAAAAGGCCGCCCCCGCAGGGAGGAGGAGGGGCCAATGAGCGGGAAAAGGATGGAACGAGGCGGGGATTTGGCGCGCCGTGCGCATGCTGCCAACGCATCATGGGGCCGGCCTCCCCGAGAGCAACCATTGGCCCGGACGCCTGCGACCAGCCATTGGCCCGAGATAGGCGATCGGCTATTGGCCAAGCGGGGGATAATGTGTGCCCCAAGCATTGAGATCCCCCCCCCCCCCCCCCCCGCCCTCCCTGGTGCACGGGCGTGTGCACACCGGCGCGCGCGTGGACGCTCGCGCGCGCGCGCACACACACCACCAGCGTGTGTCCGTGCGTTCGTGCTTTCGTCGGTCCGCTAGGGTGCAGGTGCCTCTGTTGTTCGAGATGCGCCGGCGTGGCCGGCACAAGACCGACTGGCTGGCCCTGGGCGGCGATTCGTTCACGATTATTGGTCGCTCGAGGGATTTTACTCCGCGCTGGCATGTGGGTAGGGGGTTCGAGGCGCGTGGTCTCCGGGCGAGGGGTTGGTGGGCCGCACGCCGCGCTCCTGCCGCGCTGCCAGGCTCTGGACCTTGCCTGCCCTGGCCCCTCTCAACAGGGGGAAGGCACGCCGCGATAACCCGCTGCCTGGGGCTTTTTTTCTCCCCCAGTCCCTCCTCGGCTCCTTGCCGGTTCCTCTCCCGCTCCTGTGTCCGCGTCTGCCGGCCGGCCGGCCGGCTTCACCACCCCAGTCAGAACGCCGCTGCGAGCGGATATCCCCCCCCCCCCCCCCGCCCCTCTCCCCCCTCCCCCCTCCCCGGTCCGGGAGAGGCCCAAGATGAAGGAGAGGCCGAAGACCGGAAGAGACACACGCACAAACGCATGTCGCACCTAGAGGAAGTGGGCTTTCTATTGGCTGTCGCGCTGCTTTTTTTTTCCCCGGAATCACACATGTGGCTGGGCATTCCCCCACGCTCGAAAAGCAAGTAGCCCCAGGCGCGGAGGAGACACAAGGACGCGTGACACCATGGAGCCGGGGGGCAGCACCGGAGGAGCTCAGTCCTCTTCGGCGGAGCCTTCAGCCGTTTGACCGTCATCCTCTTGGTCCTGCTCCTCGTCCTCCTCGGAGGCACTGCCCTCGACATCCGTGTCGTAGCTGTCATAGCCGTCATCCTCGGAGCTGCTGTCGACAATCTGGAAGGCCCCGGAGGCCGTCCCGTCGGTCGACTCCTCTTGAGCCCCCTCCGGCAGGATGGCCTCGCCGATGGCCAAGTCCCCGGGAGCGGCGGCCTGCAATGCGGCGGCGGCGGCAGCCGCATCGGCCAAATCCGCCCCCGGAGCGGCGGCAACACCCGCACCATCGGTCGCAGAGGAGGCAGCCACACGCGCCGCCTCAATAGCCGCGCGATACTGCCGGATCTGCTCGGTGGCGAGCTGGTGCACATACTCGCCCATGGCAACAACATTCTTGATGACAAAGCGGCTGGGAGGCGCCTCGAGCGAGCCAAACGCCCGGTCGGGGCGAGTGGTGGGGAAGCTACGCGAAGGTGCGCCATTGGGGGCCGAGAGAGAGAGAGGGGGGGGGGGGCGAGAGAGGCACAGGGAGGCACAGGGAGGGCGGGGTGAGCAGGAGGGTGGCAGGACAGAAAAGAAACAGAGAAAGCGCACAAACGCACATTTCATCCTTGGTCAGAACCAAGTACGAAGGGGGAAGACGCCGGCGAGCGAAGGGGTCCGTCAGCACGGCGGGAGCCAGGGCAGTCGGGCCGGCAAGGGCAGGCGCCCCATCGGCCGGGGTCATGTCGGCATCGGCCTCGGCAGCGGCATCGCCCTCGGCCTCGGCATCAGCTTCGCCCTCATCGTCGACCTCGGCATCGGCCTCGGCATCGGCCTCCCCCTCGCTGTCGAGCTTAACATCAGCCTCGGGCTCGGGCTCGGGCTCAGACTCGGCCAGCTTGTCGGTGGCGGGGGCGCCGGCCACCGGCAGTGCCGCGAACGAGGCCTCAAAGAGCGGCTGGAACATGCGCCGCAGCTCGAAGCTTCCCTCAAAGAGAGCCCGGCGACCGAAGACATAAAGACCAAGGCGCGCACGGGACAGGGCCACCACCATACGACGCACATCGCGCATGTAGCCCACGGTCTTGGTGCGGACCAGCGACAGCAGCACATAGTCATTCTGCTGGCCCTGGTACTGGTCGACCGTGGAAATGGCTCCGGGCATGCCGAAAAGCGGGTTCGAAGCGCAGCGCTTGCGCACCAACTCCGTAATCAAATCCTTCTGGCCATTGTACGTGGTCAGGATGGACACCAAGTGCCCAGGATACCCGAGCAGGCGCATGTACTGGAAGACCGCCACCACATACTCCGCCTCGGCCAGGTTCTGGATGTAGGCCGGCGCCGGCTCGGTCTCACCCTGGCCATGCAGATCGCCGACATCAATGAACTGCGCCGTGGTGGCGAAGCCGGCATTGGCCAGGCGGAATTCCGGACGCTCGACAACATGCGGCAAGTCCCCCAGGCACTGGTAGCGCCATCCGTACAGCGCACGAAGGGACGACCTGGCACGACCCTGCGCATCCAGGTCCACGGTGCCCACCCCGAGCCGGACCAGCCGCGTGAACATGGACTGCTCCATGTTGCCCTGCTGGCGGAAGGCCTGGTTCTTGACCACCGGCGGCAGCTGGTTGTGATCACCGATGGCCACAATGCGCCGGAGCCGGCCCCGGCCATCCTGCGGATCCTGCAGCAGCAGCGGGATGAATGCCTCGATCTCCAGGATTTGAGCCGACTCCTCCATCAGCACCGTGTCATACCGGAACCCCAGGCGCAGGAGGTCCGCCCGCTTGAGGGCCGCATGGGTACAAGTCATGGCCACAATGCGAGCCTCCTTCATGAGGATGTAGTCGCCCCGTTCGCGACCGGTGCGCAGCAGCTCAAAGGCCCGGATGTCGGCCAGCTGGCGGAACACCTTTTCCAAGTGCCCGACAAAGCAGCCCGACACCGCGGTCCAGGCCTCCTGCGCGGTGAGCTCCGCCGGCGTGGCACCGAACACCGGCTCCGGCGCGTCGGCGAAGTACTCGGCAAACGGGAACTCCCGGCGGATGTACTCGCTCAGGGACCGGTCCGCGGCCAGGACATCGGCCGATGCGGTGGACAGATCCAACGGCAGGGAGTCGGTGGCCTGGCGGCCGAGCTCGGCCTCCAGGCTGGCGAGCCCCGCACGGAACCGATCCCACCGGGGGCCCACATGCAGGCGGAAGAAGTTGCTGGCCGTCTCACATGTGTAGCCAACATGCCCGGGAACCTGCAGCGAGACAGCCAACCGCGACACCTCGGCAAGCAGGGCCAGGCGCCGGGCCAGGAAGAAGTTCACACGGCCGGAGATGCTGAAGTCCCGATCACTGGCCAGGTCCTCCTCACCATGGCCCAGACGCAGGCAGTGGCCTTCGTACACATCCAGGGCGATGATCTTCTCGAACAGCTGGTTCAGAGCCTGGTTCGAGTGTGTGACCAGGAGGATGTGCTGCAGAGGCCCGGCCGAGCCACGGGTGTGCATGTGCATGCGTGCACAAAGCGGATGGGGGCAAAGGGCCCGAAGGCCAAAGAGAGGCAGTCAGTACAGGGAGGCAAGGCCCGTGGAAAGAGGAAGGCAAGGCAGGAGGGAGACCAGGGAGAAGGTTGGTCGGCAGGGGATTCTCGCGGCCAGCGCACCTGGTTCGGCCAGTTATGATAAATCGAGGCAAGCAGCTGAACCGCGACGTCGGTCTTTCCGGTCCCCGGCGGACCGACCACCAGGGTCAAGCCACGCTCAAGCCCCTGGCGGATGGCGCGCACCTGGGTCGGGGTAAAGCGGATGGCATTGCGCCGACGGGCGTCGGCCGGGTACGGGCCACACGGGGGCGGGTGGTAGGCCCGCACGTGGACCTGCTTGGCCGGGCCATCGAAGCGCACCCGGAAGAGGGTGTCCCCGGGCAGGGGAACCGCATTGGCCGGATCGGCCAGGGTGCCGATGGTGGCCGCGTCGAAATCCTTGGCGGCCACACGCGCGGCCAGCACCGCCAGCTGGTCCGCCCGGCTGAGATCCGACCGGTCGAAGAGCACCTCGCGCCCGGGGAACGAGGCAAACAGGTGGTCCAAATCCAGGAAGGTATCGCGGAAGTCCAGCCACGAGTCGGCCGACGGCGCGTCAAGTTCCATGGCATCGGCCGGGGTGGCCTCGGCCTGGCCGGTGGCATCCGAAGCCGGCGTCAGAGCCGGATGCACCGGCAGGCCGGCCTCGGCCGCGGTCAGTGCATGTGCCGCCCGCGGGTCGCCGTACCCGAGGAAGACATCCTGCAGCCAATCCGGCACGACGTCCGGATGGCGAGACACCTGCTCCATCATGTCGCGCATGGTGGCCAGCGTCGCGCGGAAGTGGTTCTCCTGGGGCTTGCGCCGGACCAGGATGTTGAACGTCGAGTAGACATCGTCCCCGGCATCGAGGAGCTGGCGCGCGGCGGCGGCAGCGGCATCATCGTCGCCGCCGCCGGCCGTGAGGCCGGCCTGCGTGCGGCGGCGCTGGGCGCGCGCCCGGCGGCGCGACGAATGCGAGCTCGCCAATTGCCGCTGCGCATCGGCATAATACTGGTCAGGGTCCAGGAGGACATTCACCCGGCGCAAGCCACGACGCCGGCGGGGAGGGACATCCTGCCGCGGGTCGAACGGCCCGCCACCGCCACCGCCACCGGTCTGGCCTTGGGGCGGCGCCTCGTCGCCAAAGTGATCCGAGAAGCCGGTCACCATGCACCCGCGCACGGCCACCACGCCAAACTGCTCGGGGAAGGGCAGGGCCCCCGGGGTGCCGGGGGGCTGGTAAACCGGCGCCTCGGTCGACCGAGCACGCACGGTGACCAAGAACAGGACGTCCCCCTGGCGAAGGGCATCCCACTCTTGGCGCACATCCAGCCGACACCGGCCCAAGTCGAAGGACACACGGCCGCGGACAAATTCCGGCCGATGATCGGCCACCCGCGGCGGGCCGACATCCTCCACCGTGAAGGTTTCAATGGGGATGGCCATGCGCGACCAGCCGCCGAAAACCGTGGCCATGGCACCGCCGGCGGTGAGGCTGGCCCCGGGCCCGGCCAGGCGCGGGGACAGACGCCGAACGGCCGTCTCAATGTCCTGCCGCACATCGGCTGCCGCCTCCAGGCGGAAAAGGTGGAAATTCCGCTGCAGGTAATCCTGGATCGTGAGGAACTGCAGATTCAGGCGAGGGAGCGGCAGGGGCCGGTCCCCGGCCGGCGGGGCGTCGCTCAGCTCCGGCGCACCCCACAGGGTGACCTCCGACGGGAGCAGCGACCCGCCCTCGACATCGGCCTCGCGAATGGCCGAGGCCACATCGGCCGCGAAGTTCAGCACCAGAGCCTCGACCAGCGTACGCAGGGGCAGCGGCTGGCCGGTGTGGGGGAAGTGCGTGCGCAGGCCCAGGCGCCGGGCCAGCTCGGCAGTTCGCTTCCAGAGCGAGTCCGGCGACTTGCCGGCCTCGCCCGGCACCGCCGAGCCCACTGGTGTCTGAAGCAGACGCCGCAGGGCGGCCGACGTGCCGGACACCCGCGACAAATTCCCCAGGGCCAGCTCACGCAAGCCCTCCGGGTCCAGGGCAAAGGCGGCGGCCTGGAGGCGACCGACCGCCGCGCCATGCCGGGCGGCAGCCGCGTCCGCCGACAGGGCCGCGCCGGTCAGATCGTCGACAATGTCCGCCCGGGCCAGCTCCGCCAGACGCTGGACCATGCCGCGGAAGAGCCGAGCATCGACGGGGGTCAGCCCACCGGGGAGGGTCCCCTCCGTGCCGTCCTCATCGTCGACATCGGTTGCGCCATGGGCAAACAGCTGCGACGTCTGGCAGAGGACCACCGCCAGGTGATCGTCCAGCAGGGCATTGGTGAAGCGCCGCGTGGGCATCTGCCCGAGCAGGTCCACGAAGAGCTCCAGCACCCGACACACCAGCACCACCGCATGCGACAAGAGGGTGGCCGAGCGGGCCAGCTGCCGCTGAAGGGTGTGGCCGCTGGGCTCGGCCTCGGCCGCGGCGGCGTCATCGGTCTTGCGGCGCTTGCGGCCGGGCGCCTCGGTGGCAGCGTCGGACTCCGGGGCTCCGAGTGCCTCGACCACGGCAGTCTGCGGGTCCAACACCGTGTCAATGTCGGACACCAGGCTGGCAAGCATCTTGAGCAGGGCCGACAGGAAGGTCCGCTCGAAGGTCAGCTGCTGGCGCTTGTCATCGTCCCTACACACATACGCGCGCGCGCGCGCACACACACAAAGGAGATGCACACACACACACACACACACATATGTGGATCGGGGGCGTGACAGCGGAGGGAGCAGGAGAGAAAGGGGGAGGGGGAGGGGCGGGAGGGGTGAGCAACAAGGCCAGAGTGGGCGGAGGGGGGCGGGGGCGGGAAAGAGGGGCAGGCGGAACGGGTGTCGAGGGTGGGTGCTTGGAACGAACGATTTCTTGAGCGCGCGCTCAAGACGCGACCAGCGCTTGGCCAGAGTGGCATCGCGGGCGAGGAGGAACTCCCGACGAGCCGGCTCGAGGGACACCTGCAGCGGGAGGAGGAAATCAAAGAGTCAGAGGGGACCCGGCATGCTTGTGCGAGGGCAGAGGCCATCCACGCACCCAGATGCCCATTGACACGAGCTTAAGGCACTCGGCACGCAGGAGAGGGTTCTCCAGCGACTGGAAGGCACGCGTGAGGAAGAGCAGGAGCTGCGAGCGAATCTGCAGCGTATTCTGCGCGCTCCTGTATCGTGGTGCGGGGGAGGGAGGGGGGGCCATGGGCAAGAAGGAACACAGGGGGGGGGAAGGAATGCCGGAGAATTAGCAGCAGGGAGAGACAGAAGGGAATGCAGAGGGCAGGGCAGGAGGAGGAGGGGGGGGGGGGGGGGGGGCGATCAGGGCGGGACAAAATGGCCGAGGGTCACGAACAGCGTCTCACGAAGGAGGGCCTGGAAGAAGGCGGTGAACTTGTCGGAAGGCTCAGCACCGAAGACGGCCCACGGCTCGGAAACCGACTGGCGGAACTTCTCATTCACCATGAGCACCACCGAAAAGAGGTGCTCCTTGGAGGCGGTGGCCGCGTCGAAGTGCGGCCACAGGAAGCTGCATGTCGCCAGGCGAAAAGAGGGACGAGGGGTTAGACCCAGGGAAGGGCGGAGACGTGTGTCCCGGCGAGGGAAAGACAAGGGGAGCAACGCATGCATACCGCTCCAGGTACTGGGAGAACTCCAGGGGAATGAGTCGACCGGGGGAGAAATTCGACGCGGCCAGCTCGCTATGGAAGATGCGCTTCACCAGAGCCGGGCTGAAGTCGGCCGGGGCTCCGGCCTCGCGGTGCGGCGACCAGAAGGCCAGCGACACCCGGGTGAGCGGGTCGGTGTCGATCTGACGGGCGGTCAGGGCGAAGTACCCGCGCCGGGGCCCGGCGCTCGTGGACTCGCGCGTCCGACCCAGGAGCTTCATGGCCGCCGGAACCGAGCGGGGGATCTGCCCGCCGGTGTTCGAAGCGGGACGCGGGCGCTTGGCATCGGACACGGTGGCAACCTCCTCGGGCATCTTGGCGGCTGCTCATGGCAAGTTAGTGCATCCGGCAGTGTGGGGAGCCGTGGAGGAAGGGAAGACAAGATGGAGGGGAGCGAGGGGCGCAGAGGCGAGGAGCAAGGAAAGCAGGTAAAGGCCAAGGGCGGGATGCGTACAGGGAGCAGTAGAAGCGGAGGCCATATCGCGTTGCGAGGGGGGGGGGGGGAGAGGGGGCAGCCCGCTGGGGGGCGGGGTGGTAGAGGGGAGCCGGCGCGAGCGGGAGAGCGGTTGAGAGGGTGACTGACGGTGGTCGGGGAGGGAAGTGGACGTGGAAAAAAGAGGGGGGGAAGGGAGGCAGGAGGGTGGCCCGCCCAACGGTCCGCGCGCCCGGACACAACGGGCACATTAGTCTGGCGGGTTCTTGGTGTCTCGCCCGAGGGTACCGTTGCCACACGCATGCGTGGTGCGCGCGTCCGAAAGTGGGCGGGAGGGGGGGGGGGGACG